GCAACTTCATCTGCGAGTTCCCTCAGGACCTCATCAGGTCCCATGGACTTGTCCACCTTCAGGTTCTTTAGATGGTCTCAAACCTGATCTTCTCCTACAGTGGGCAGTTCTTCATTCTCCCAGTCCCTGCCTTTGTCTTCTGTGGCTTGGGCTGTGCAGCTGGAGCTCTTGCCAGTGAAGACTGGGGCAAAGAAGTTGTTGAGAACCTCAGCCTTCTCCATATCCCGGGTAGCCAGGTCCCCCGTTTCCTTCCGGAGAGGGCCTACATTTTCCCTAGATTTCTTTTTATCACTGACACATCTATAGGTTTTTCTTGTTGCCCTTGATGTCCCTGTCCAGATTTAACTCTATCAGGGCTTTAGCTTTCCTAACCTGATCTCTGGTTGCTTGGACAATCGCTCTGTATTCTTCCCAGGCTACCTGTCCTTGTTTCCACCCTCTGTAGGCCTTCTTTTGGTTGTATGGAACTGTGATTCTACCTGATTCCTTGCAGGTTCATCACAACATCTAATAACACTGTCCACATTGCAAGTTCAAGTGTTGAATTAGGCTCGAAGGGTAGCATTAGAATAAATGCTGCATTTGATCTTTTTATTGCCTATTGAAATATATGGCCAAGCAAAGACACTGGGTCTCGTTTACTGAAAATTGGTAGGTTGGAAATTGGCTGGCACCCCGTCCCCCCATTTACTGATGAAAATTCCATCTTACCAACCCTGCCTATCATGACAGAGCATGGATTATATAAAAACAAAAATAAGTGATTACTTATTTTAAATGCTGCTTATGCTTATTATAATTGTATGTTTATGGTTGTTGTTTACTTGACCTTCCTCTAGGGTGGCGTAGATCAAAAAATGCCATTAGTGGTATCAAGGATAACTCCAGGATCACCTGTAAGTAAATTCTTCAGACTTTTAATCTCTCCCTCTATTACTCCCTCCACCACTCACAGAAGTCTGTACATGTAGGAATTTGGAAACCAATTACCAGTACGAAATGGCAGCTGAGCTGTTCTCTTTAGAAATTGATTTGACCAGTGGTTTCTTAAACCACGTATGAAAAGATCTGGAAGCATTAGCCAAATATGATACTAGTGGAAACCATGTTTCTTTCCCCCTGACATGTCAAAAAGTACATCTTGAACTGGAAAATGTTTGAGGGGTGAGAGCAATGACTGAAGATACAGAACAGCATTCATTAAAGTAGTGAGTGATCTGGGCCCCTGCAGCCTAGAAAAAATGACTAGTTTAAGGGAGATGTAGTAGACATCTGTAAGATTAGGAGCACTGTGAGCAGGGAATTCCGGTACAAGAACTACGAGCTACTAAATTAAGTTACTGAAAGTCAAGTTTAATGAAGTAGTTTTTCATGCATAAGACAATAGACCTGTGAAACTCCTTGACCAAGAATGCTGTGGTTAAAATAATTTCGTGGGTCGTCAGGAGAGGACAAACACTTGGGATAAAAACCTGCTGACAGTTACTGTATAGACAAACAATAGGCTGAGGAAATCCTTAGGGCTAAAATATTTATAGGATGGGAGAGTACTTGGGAGGGGAGAAGGGAGCACAGAATGTTTGCTCTGTTCTTATTTTGCCATGGATTTTCACTTATGGAAATATTTATGGACTACGTGGAATGTTCATCAGAATCAGTACAACCGTAGAGTTCTGCTCAATTATGGAATAATAATAATATAACATCTTGGTAACTGTTTTCTAAAGAATTCTTACATACATTTGTGAGGAGATATGTTATCTTATCTCAAATTTTTTTCTCTCACCTTCATCCAAAGTGTATTTCCCAACTGTCATAAAATAACTTCGGTGCAAACTTGATAGGAAATATTGTTGACTTAATCCTAATAACCTGATGTACTCTACATCTTGTAGAGTCTTTTGAAATTCAATAAGCAGTCACGGGCCTGATATCTAAATGTCATGATGTAAATTGAACTAAAACAGATGGTTTGAGAAGACTTTTTTTTTGTCACGTTTATGATTTGTGGCTTGATTTACACAGTGCATAGCACTCCTTTATGAACTACAAAAATTATTTGAATAAAAGAGTAGTAGGAAATTATCATTATAACTCAAATCCACAAAGTGAAAATAAAACAATCCTTAAAACAATTCATGGTCAATGTAGCAAGCTTCTTAAGGGTGATTTGAGATACTGAAGTTAATGTTAACTCATTCTGCAACCAGAAAATGAAAGGTGCCACTCCAGAGGCAGTGATTTCCTTTGGCAGATTCAGATTATCTTCTGGAAAGTATTGATCTGGGTTTTTTTATCCTGGACTGGAAAAGGACTGGACTTCTAACTTACACACTTTTAGGGTCTCCAGTTAGTGGCATAGGCATAGATACAAGTGACCAGTTAGCTCGCTAGCCTAATAAGCCAGTAAGCAAGCAAATTATCAAAGGTCAGGGAATAAATTGGAAACAGTTATCCAATACAATATACTTAACAGTAGTCTTACAATAATCACGTCATGTTACAGCAAGAGGAAAAAAAAACACCTTATTTTTAGAGCATAGCAGTATTAACATTGATTATATAGTTTTCTGTAAACTAAATTTCACCTGTTTAGTGAAATGTAGCTGATATTTGAAAGTTCAAGTTGAGCAGTCTATAGAATGCATTTTTACGTTATTTTAGCTCAATGATGCCTTTCATTCATTGTATTTGCTACTATTTTAACTTGCTATAGATTCACTTATTACCCTGTAAATTGTCCTCAGGGATGCTGTTTGGTAATATTAGTTGCTAAGATTATTTCTCAGCTTTGTAGATCACTTTTTTCCACTTTCCTACTAAAAGATCTGTATTTTTTGTTGAGGAGGGGAAGCAAATCTATTCACCAAAATATGGCAGTATTTTCCCTTTCCTATCCTAAAGTTCTTTTAAAAGAAGTCCTCCTCTAATACAACAGCAATCTAGTGTGCTGGGAAGATTGTAGGACAGAGTAGCCAAAACTGTTGTGGGAGAGCACATCTAAAGAACAACCATTTATTGCATCTGTTGGGTTTTTTTTTAACTGAAGTCTTATACTGATTTTTTTGCCACAAACAAAATTAATGGCTTAAGGTGCTAAAGAAGTCATTATGGATTTATTTAATAGAGCTTCTCGTTGAAAAATTGTCTGCATGCCTCTTGGAGCAATAACAAGGTGATTAGCATAAAATGAAACACTGGATGTGTCAATAGGACAGGAAGCCTTTGACATAATTAATTGTCTGGAAAAGCTCAATATCTGAAAAATCTACAAATTATGCTTACATGGAAGGAATTAGTTCTCCTTCAAGATATATTTTATATAGTCAGAAGATTCAAGTAAGAGAGCTGAGGCATTAAGGTGTCACATGAATTACAAAGTTTCTTTGAGCAAAGATATTAATCTCCTTCTGTAATAAAGAATAATAGCCAGCAACCAGCCAAGAAATCTAAATTATAGACAAATACAGATCAGAAACCATTCCCTCTATGTTCTTGTTGACTTCTTGACTCTTCTAGACTGATCTGATAGTCTTTATATCACTTATCTTTTCAAGTAATTATATTTCAGAGAGAATGTTATATCTCAGAAAATAATATGTCAGAGTGATTAAATCAGTCAATCATTCATAGCTGCATTCTTCAGTCTTACTTTTGTAAATTGTACAAAATATGGCAAGGAAGTTTTTGGAGAGCTATGAATACCTAGTTAAATCAGTGTTGAAGAACATCGTGGCCGTTTCTAATTATCATTCTTTTTCTGTTTATATTTGTCTTTTTTTATTAATCATTGTCAATCTTCCCTGTCCTTTATTACTTTCTTACCTTATTTCTTTGGAAAAGGTTGGGGAAAACTATTCCTTTATGTAATTTTTAAACAGTTTTTCTGCTTGGGCTTTTTTCTCTTGCATACATCTTTCTTTTATCTCTCTTCTTTCTCTTCTCCTTTGTCTGTTTTCTGACACATATATGTCTTAGGTTTTCTTTTCTTTTACTTTATTCTCTGAAACAGTCGCTCCCAATTTATTTTCTTCCTCATATCCTTGTCTCTATATTTTTTTTCTTCTGCATTTTTCTTGTTAGTTCTTTCATTATCACTTCTCCTTTCCATCTCTTTCTATTTTTAACTTAGCAATATAGTGCATTAAGGATAAACTTACTTTAGGAGCCATCAGTGCAAGGCATAACCAGGATCAGGTCTAATTAGAACATCTTGTTTACATTTCGGTGGTTGGTGATGGTTTTCTTGATAGGGTTAGTAACATTGGATGAGTAAAGTTCAGGGAATCTGGGCTGGCATTAAGGGAATACCGGGAACATCTATGCATAGCAAGTAACAATAAAGGTCTGTGTCTTGTTCATATAACAAATGAAATGGAGCGTGTGTATATATCTCACTCTTGTATAGCTGAGTACGTCCTAGACAAAATAAAAATTAAGATAGCAATGAAAACAAAATTGTTATGCTACTTGACACTCAAAGGTTGCAGTATCCTGCATGTTTATATTATGCAATCACAGAAGGCTGGAAGGGGTATCTTGTCCAACTCCCCCCTCAGAGATGACGTAGAGCCAGTTGCCCAGGACCATGTCCAGATGACTTTTGAATACTCCAAGGTGGGAGACTCCACAATGTCTCTGGGCAACCTGCATCAGTGCTCAGTCACCTCACAGTAAAAGTGTTTCCTGATGTTCAGATGAAGCCTCCTATGTTTCAGTTTGTGCCCGTTGCCTCTTGTTATGTCACTGAAGAGAGCCTGGCTCCATCTTCTCTGCGCCTTCCATTCAAGTATTTATGTACATTGACAAGATCCCCTCTGAGCCTTCTCTTCTCTAGGCTAAACACTCCCAGCTCTCTTAGCCTTTCCTCATATGAGAGATGCTCTAGTCCCTTAATCATCTCTGTAGCAGCATCATTGTATTCTGGCCATACTTTGAATTGCTTTGCACTGGACTTAGAGCTAAGCATACTAAGAAGCATGGCAGAAAAAAGCTAAACAAACCCTAAAGTTCAGCAGTTAATGTAAATTGCTGTATCCAAGACAAGACATAATGTAAGTTTTCGTTTGAGATGGTGAAAACCTTGTTTTGGTGTTCTCTGCAGCACAGGTAGCAAAAGAATTTGCCACAAATGCAGGGTACTTAAGCGTCATAACTTGAGTACTTACCTGCATCGTCATCTTGAAATTTTCAGTGAATGAAGTGAGGAAAAATGTTCTCTATTTGTAGATATCATTTGATATCCACCAAACAAGAATCTGATAAATAGCAAAAATACAAAATGTGTATGATTTATTTAAACTTTAAAAAGTACATGCCTGAGGAATGTTGTGTTATTTCAATTACTTTCGTCAAAATCATGTTTGGACTTCTCAGTATTCCCTGTGTAAAAACTGAAGCGTGTTATTTTATGTGCTCTAAACACTTTTTCCAGAAATTCCTTTGCAAATGGCTCTAACCAGTGGTTGTTGAAGCTTGGAGTCTGAAATTTAGATCTTTAAGAGCAATCTGATGATGACTGTTTGATAAACACAAATTCTTTTTATACCTATCAATATGCTGCTTGAACTGTTTATCATCTTCATTGAGAGGCTTTGAAGCCAGAAAGACAGCTTTAGATCTGAATCTTTTGACAGGACTTCTGGTGCAGAAGAGGAAACCTTGTCAGGAGAACTCTGAAGGCTTTGCTTACGTGATGAACTTAATATCTTGATGTGTTCCTGATTACATGACTGGATGCACTGACAGTAATATGTTTCTTTGGTCTTGAAACAGGCTGATAAATGCATTCCAAAACTGAATGAAGGTGATCAGATCGTATTAATTAATGGCCGAGATATCTCAGAGCACACACATGACCAGGTGGTCATGTTCATAAAAGCCAGCAGAGAATCTCACACAAGACAGCTTGCACTGTTGGTCAGGCGGAAAGGTAACTGGGCTAATTTTATTCACTTTTAATGTTTTTGAGACTGTTGCTTTTATGCTTGGTGGTATACCCTCTTCCGTTTACATAAATGTGTTCTTGGTGCACTGGGAATAGGTCTGTACTAAAAAGTAGATCTCCCTGCGTTTCAACTGGTAGTACAAATAGTTTTAACTATATAGATTCTTACCACGGCAACAAAGAATCTGTCAAATTAGAATTTCTTCTTTATTTTGGTCTAAAAATCTACGAGAACAAATAGTCTTTTGCAAAAGTGAGGAGTTTTTTTGTAAATATACCACAATTTCACAAATCCTCAGTTGAGGCTTTGCAAATACCCATCGCCTGTTCCCCAGCACAATTATACAATGAAACAAGTCAAATAAGCTACTTTTTTATTATTATTATTATTCCCTCCCCCTTTTCTTTCTTTCCATTCTTACAATAGACATTTTGTGACAATGCTGAGCTTGACCTGTGCTAGCTACTTGCTAAACTGCTGCCAGCAAACAGGAGATAATCTCTGAAATATGCAGGGTCTTAAACCTGTATATTTAAAATATCGGGAACCCATCCAACTTGGGTTTACTTGTTCCATATTTAAACACATGCAGATCCCAAGAGCTTTCAGATGACGTGAAACTTATAGTTTATTATTTACTTTCCTTAAGAGCTATGGTAAGACCTGAACACACAATTATGGAAGGGCTTTGCACAGAGTTTCTGATTACAATAAGATTTAAAAATCTGAAGAGATTATGCATCTCTGGGAAACAGGAGGGAATAAAACTCCCTAATTGATATGTACTTCTGTAGCATTTCCTTTATTTAAAATTTGTCATGTTTCTAGGAAGATAAATAGGTAGGCTCTTGGTCTTGTTTTCCCTGAACAGTCCCGCTCCTGTTATTGAAGGCCTTTCTTCTGACTCTGTGCAGTATTTAGTCTTCCCTTAACTTTTCTAGTCCACTTCCTACTTGAAGATAAGTCTGCTCTTAGCTAAAGATAACCTGTGGCCCAATGCCAGTCATTTATATAGGCATGAGTATGAACAGTTCCTCATTTTGTGAAGTTTGGCAGGTATGAGCCATTCTGGTTGTCGCTGAGAATAACCACGGCTGGACACGTTTGGTGATACAATAGCTTTCAGAGAGACAGAACTGCTGCGTAGATTAATTGATTAATATTTGCTGTGTTCTTCAACATGTTAGCAAGGGACGTCGTAGAAAACTGGCTAATAATTTTTTTGTAGTTTATTAAGTTAGTTCCTTCAATGTTAGCACAAGAAATTGCAAAAGATAGTTCAGTTGCTTCTCTAATGGCAAGGGAGTACAACGTAAGTATGTTTGTGTTTGTTTTGCTGTTGGAGGTCCAAACCTATATGAACTTCTTATATAGATATTCTACTAATTATGCTCTAAACTGTTTTAGGCAAAACTCATTTGTTTTTTACCGTGGTGGATGTTGTGATTCATTAGCCTTTTCACTGGTTAATTCTGTAAGACAAAGTTGCAGAAAAAAGCTCTCTGTGCTTGGAAGTTAAGTTCTTTGCCTTCATAGATAGGCACCTTGAGGAGTTTCATTTTCTGAAAGGGCATAAGGACATTTTACTCTTAGTAGTTTGTACAGTAACATAGTACCTAAAGAAATGCAGTTAAATGTGTTGCTATATGCTTTCTTGAGGCCTTGTCTTTGCAAACTTTGTTGTTCTTGCAAGCTGGTAAATTTCAGTGTTGCAAACACATTAATGCTATATGTAATGGACTCTAATTTCAATACATCTTCCAGTAGTTAAACAGTTTGTGGTGCCTAAATCAGAAGACGAAGCTGATTCCCACAATCTCCCAGAATCTCTTCTTCCTATCTGTTCCGAATATGGTGGTGATACACTGGAGGAGTCTATGGAGCAGCTAAGGAAAGGGCTGGAAAGTGGGACTGTCCTTATTCAGTTTGAGGTAGGTAATACTCAACTCTCAAATGCTATTAATATAGACCAATAGCTGTGACCATCAAGTAATGTAAGGGCTTAATTAACTGGAAATCTCATTGCTCCCATTTAGTCTTATCTCAATAGAGCAAGAATGTGACTTGTCCATCAGTTTCACCCTTCACTACTTAGAATAGGAAACAATGAGTTATCAGTCTTGCACAAAACATCTGCTGAGAAAAATGTGTTTTAATTAACATGTTTCTAGCTCAAATACTCAAAGCTCACTAATTTATTTTTTTATTATTATTTTATTGAGTAGAATAGCGGGGTTTTGAAAGAGGTCAGTCTTTTACTTTGTGTTTCCATGCTACACAGTGATGTTTCTGAAACATCTTTTATACCTTAAGTTAGGGTTTCAAGCTCTCATGTGTTGCCTTCTTTCATGGAATAACAGGAGCAACTTGACCATTCCTCATCTTTCTCTCTTAGAGGTTGATATGAAAGTGTTGGAATGTTAATTTCCATTTGCAAGATGTTTGTAATGTCCAGTTCTGTGGTGTTTCTCCCTGGTGATCTGAAACAGTGATGGTTTTCTTGGGCAGATTATTTCATATGTGAGATTTCCCTGTATGTTGGAAGAACTGCTGTGTAGATTAATGAATTAATGTTTGTCATGTTCGTCAACATGTTAGCAAGGAATTTCATAGAAAACTGACTAATAAAATGTTCTTGTAGTTTATTAAATTAGTTCCTTCAGTGTTACTGTAAGAAATTTCAGAAGATAATTTAGCTGGTTCTCTAGTGGCAAGGGAGTACATGTAAATGTAACTACCGTAAATGTAGGTCTATGCTCGTTTCGCTGTTGTGAATCCAAACATTTATAGTAACTTTATAGAAACTCTGGTTTTTATGACTTACAAATTTCACATTGCTGAGTTCTGAAGTAACACTTTCTGATGCTGAAAACTTATGGAACAGCAATACAATTTTTCCCCATTTTATTTTTCCTTCACCATTTTTTCAACTGCTGTAAGATTTAATGGTGGTGACTGGTGAGTTGTGGTATTGCTTATTGCATAACTACTTTTTGATGTTTGATTTTTAAGTGATTGTAGACTATGGTTCATAGCTGTTTTCCAAAATCTACAGCACTGGTTGCAATGCAGCAATAGCAATGAGTCTGTTGGCTATCGAAACAGTAACTCAAAAGATATGATCTAGCCTTTCAATGCTTTGTTAATTGTCAAAGTTGACTAAATTTGTGCACAAAGTTCCTGTAATAATCTTCATAGGATATTTGATCCTTTATGACTTCTTTCCTGACAGAGTTTATAAAAGGGCAATTGCAGCATCACCTCATCAGCTTTGATGGCTCTCAAATTCTCCATTCACATTAGTAAAATAATAAATAATTAGCCAGTGGACTATGAATATCTTCCTCCACTTAAGCAGAATTTAAGAGGTCTGTCAATGGCAAATGACTTTTTGCCAGACAACAATAATGAAGCTCCAGAATTGTTACTTAACATTAAATTATTCTTCCTTGTCTCCCAAAAAAAGCAGAAATTTCAACTTGGCTCTAATAAAATGAAACTTGAGTTATAACTGATAGAAGCTGTTCAGTTACATATATTATCAAGTTCTTTTCTCACATGGCTTGTTTATGCTGTTGAAGGCAAAAAATGTGGTGAGCTGTGATACTGAGTCTTAGGATTCAGTAAATCTCACAGTAGAATAAACTTTGTGTGTTGTTCCTTTTCTCTTAACTGAAGTAGGGGATTTTAGCCTCCAGTTTGTTTCATTTCATTTTATGTATGGAACCATATTCTAAATCTTTGTTAAACATGTAAGATACAATGAGGTCTTTGCCAAGTGTTTAATGAAGTATATAAAACTGACACAGCCAGGTTAACAGCTCAATTCTAAGTTACTTTCATGTATTTTTAATACAGAAAAACTGTAGTTGTATAGTTGCATTTCTTGATTTTACTGTTATTTTCCCCCTTCCATACCTTTTGTTGTCTTGTACAATGCACTTAGTGCATTCTGACCTTAAAATGTATTTTTAGTTACATGCTTGTATGCCTACGTTTACTCCAGATAAAGTTTGCAGGATAGAGACTGTGATACATTGAAGCTTTTTTTTTCAGGTGCTTGCAGTATTGAAGGTGATGGTTTTAGTCCAATTCCAGTTGATTCTGGAAAATATCAGTCTACAGCTATTTTTTTTCTGATGTCTTTTATTGTTCACTTCTTCCACCCTCAACCTCTATTTTCCTTCTGGCATGCAGTTTTATAAGAAAAAGGCAACCTTGCAGGGAAACAGTTTATATCAATGACTCTTCTTTCTTTTTTTCCTATAAATTCTTCTAGAGATGATGATGGGCTAGCAATAACAGAAATTCTTGTCATGTTAAAATCAAAAAAAAAAAAAACCTCTTAGGTGAATTTTGCAGATAGTTAGGAAAAAAATTAAAGAAAGTAACTTATGATATCTTTTTTCAGTCTATGTATTTTCTTGTGAAACTGTTTAGTGTGTGTATAGAAAAATCCTATCATTTTTCATTCTGTCTTGCAGCAACTTTATAGAAAGAAGCCAGGATTGGCTGTTACATGTGCAAAGGTACCTCAGAATATGGACAAGAATAGATACAAAGATGTTCTACCTTGTAAGTGTTAAAAACAGACTTTCTGCCTGTTTTGCTTTATCATCTAAATGATAGCTTATAAAACTATTGTATTGAACTTCTCGATTAAAGATGACATTATATAATCAAAGTCGTATAATTGTTCATTTTATTTTCTAAAGGGTTATCTATTTTGGTTTATATTCTGCTGTATGCGTGTCTGCAATTCCTCAGTTTTTCTACTTAATAGAAGGGAAGCATGCCCTTTAATTGCTAATTTGATTCCCTCTTTTTTTTGTGTGTGTGCAGACGATGCCACAAGGATAATATTGCAAGGAGATGAAGATTATATTAATGCGAATTACGTGAATGTAAGTCATACAGAGACCTGCATTTGCCCACTTTCTATATTACAATAGCAGATTAAATTTAGCCTTTTTAAGGAATAAGGGTTTTTCGTTATACGTTTTGAGGATTTATAAATGTAAAAGATGTAAAGATTCATAATGTAAAAGATCAAGTGTGTCTTGTGAAACAAGTAACCGTCCGGATACACAGTATGTGCAAGCATGTGGTATACACTGTGATATGTGCAGGGTCTTTAACCACTGAAAACTATTTTACCTTTCCCATATACTGCAAATGCTGAGGTTGTTTCCTATAGCTTAAAACTAAGCCTTTTTTCCTCTAGAATCACTTATGGCCTACCAACTATGCTGGGAACAGAAGATAAACCAGAACCCTGATTGCCCTAATCATATGTGTAGGCTGGGAGACAGGGAGAAGAGGGGAAACATATTTATGTTTGTGTCAGATACTGAAGTTAAACACCTAAAGCACAGAATCAACTGTTAACTTACTGTTTCTAGTATCAGGTAATAAACAGCTTTTGCTAGTGTACCTTTGGTATACCTTGCCGTTATACCTTGATAAATATTAAAGAAAAATTGGAAAACTGCAGTTTTAAGTTTTCAAATGCATTTTTGCTATTAATTGTCTCTTCCTAGTTCAGCATGAAGGACTACAGTATACATGTGGTTTAAATGAAATATTTGAAGATTTTCTTATTACTCAGTGTGCCTCCTTAATGTTCCATCAACTCTGTTGAATGAAATGCTGAATTAAAGAAAAATAATACTTGAGTAGTGAGAACAAACTGTACATAGGATTATTTTTTCTCTTTATAGATGGAAATTCCTTCTGTGGGCATTGTGAACAAGTATATTGCTACTCAGGGACCTCTTCCACACACATGTGCACACTTCTGGCAGGTAGTCTGGGATCACAAGTTGTCGCTGATCATCATGTTAACAACTCTCACTGAGCGAGGACGGGTAAGTGTTCAGGTTCTTTGTATGCTGAAGAAATGTAAACTTTCTTCCTTTAAACTTTCTTCCCATCGTTATGATTAAATAAGCCTAAAATAGGCCAGCTTATTCTGTTGAATCATTCTCTGAAGGCCAGGGCAGATACTCGGTAACTTAATTTTTTTTATCCTTCTTCAAAAACAAACCAGCAGTCTGATAAAACAGAAATCACTGCATTGACTTCATTTTGCTCATTGGCCTGGTACTATGTGCTGTCCTTTTTTCCCTCCTGAGAAGTGGGCTCCGTGTTGCAGTTGTCTGCTGAATCATTAGGAGGACGTCTGGAAGTATCGAGCAGGTTGAGCGAAACTTGCAGTCTGGCTTCAAACAAGAGTCTGCCATGGCAGTACTTACTAGTTTTAGAATGCTGGTGGTCAGAATTTAACTTGCTTACTTTTATTTATCCTAGAATTGCTGTGATAATTCTTTTAATTCTGTTTAAATAAATTCTAGCACTCCATTAATTTCCGAATAATATAGTGAAAATTAAAGCAATATCTGGAGTATTGTGTTGTACTTTGATTTAACTTATCCGAAGTTTTAAAGATTAAGTTTTTAGATTATTAATATACAGAAAGGACTGTTTTTGAAGTTTTAGAAGCTGAAAACTGAACCGTTTTTTTTTAAGAGTTGGAGCAGATAGTGACTTCACTGTAGCCTTTATCTGTATTTCCTATATGATCTATCCTACGTTATCAAGTTTATCTAGCATCCCAGTTAAAACGCAGTGTTAATGGAAAGCAAGAGAGCGAGTATTTCAGATCCTAAACAGCATAATGATTGAGATATAGTAGGGACAGTTAAGCAACAATGTAATTTCTCATTGAAATGTATGATAGTAGTGTGAAAGCTGAAAAGCAACAGATTTTAACCATGATCAGGTTACATAGCTGTTCACAGAGACAGACATTATTGAACAACATCTGGCACAAAAATGCTCCCTTTTACTGTATTGCAGTCAAAATAGGTTCCTGCTTTCTTTTCCTTCTGTTGAGGAGAAACACAGGTTAATGCTGATCTATACTTTTCCCAGTGAGTTGGAACCTCCAAGGTGATTTGTTGTGAAGTTCTAACCATCCTACTGGCACATTTATACACCAGACACTTTTTCTGAGTTTTGCTTTCTTTCAGAGAAGTTTTACTTTTGCCCAGTTTCTGAAAAAGATGTATACTCTTGCTGGAGTATCCTCATTGCCAAATGCCAAACCTTTTCCAAGACACTGGAGGTTTTAAATTCTAGAATCTCTCTCTTCAGTGGTGTTGTTTTATAGGACAAAAACCTTCCCCTCCCGCAAGTAGTGTTCATTTTTTAGAGGTGGGTGCATATTGGCATTAGGATTGTTTCTACAAAAGTTACGTGTACACTGACTAGATGTGCCTATCTTTCTGCCTTTCGAAGGTGAACTAGAAAAAGGAAGACCTTATAATTTCAGCAGTAGAGTGGTAGGGATCTGAAGATCATCCTCTTACTATCAGCAGCAGAAGACAGGAGAGAAAATAGTTCCTTATGCTTGTACACGGAATTGATTAATCTATTTTCTTTTCTAAAAGACAGAGTATTTCATGGATCTAATTTTAGTATTGAATTCCACTTCAGCTCTTACTTGTATTCTGGTGTACCTCAGACTACATATGCAGTGCATCAGGTGTGTTCACATGCACATGAGACTTCTCTTGTCACACGTTGGTAGGCTTGAAGGTTAATCCATTATGGCCTGGCATGAAACCTGTCTGAGGCAGAGGGCAAACTACACTTTCCTGCATCAGTAAATATGTTTCTGGGCCTTTGCTTGTAACTTTAGCATTTAGATTCAATTAGTTATTTAAGAGAAGATCTCTGTCTTCAGTCTTACATCTGACATAGAAAAGAAATACATGTCTCTTTTACAAATGACACGCATGCGAACTAAAGTTATTTGTTCAGCCTTCCAGTTTCTGAACTCAGTTTTCACTGGAAAGCGTGAAGGGCAACTTTCATTATGTGACCAAGTTACTGCAGATTATTGTGCTTGCAATAGCTTTCTACATAATATTCTTGCTACTAGTGTTTATAAGCATTATTCTGTGTTTTAAAAATGTTTTTGCCTTAAAACACAAAATATGATTGAATACAAAAATGAAGATGTTTATAAGCATTATTCTGTGTTTTAAAAATATTTTTGCTTAAAACACAAAATATGATCGAATGCAAAAATGAAGTTGTCTTTCCCATTCAGTGAATTCCTGTCAAAAACCATCGTAACGTATAGCTTTTAGAGGCCTGAAAACTAATGCCCAAGTTAGGGAAGCGATCTTCAGAAAATAGCTAGGGTCACTTCATTTACTTTCACCGTTTGCTTTCAGGGAGAGTAGAAGGGAAACTGTTCTTATGGAAGCAGCCAGACAACTACCAGATTGGACTTCTAGGGGCTGTGTTTGAAGAGGTGATGGTGCTGTTGGGTATCCTTTTCCTGCTCAAACTCTCTCTGCAGAATGAGTT